GCACCTCTCTTGCCGTGTTATCAACACAGCACAGGGATGTTTTCTGTGACGGTGCTAAGATGTGGACATGTTGCCATTACGTATATAAATTATATCCCAAGTGGAATCTTTCACCGATTTCAGATTTGTTTTTCTTGGACTCTTGTTTATGGAGCTCGTTTGCATGAAATAGATATACCTTAACTCTGATTCTTTCGCGAAGAACCATGTGTTACTGTTTCATTTACCACGGAATCATCACGGCGGTAAATGAGCTGATTCGGGGATAACACAATGATAACATTGCAGAGTCGCGTCTGGGAAAACCAGGAATCGACGTCGATAATGATTCAGCGTTGGGAGATTCAATTGCAAAGCATCCAAATCTCTGTTACATAACATTCAGACACCATCGTCCCCACTGTCCGTCAGCGCTAACGGCCAAGCGAGTCCTCTAATAAAAGTGCATATTTAATATTTTGTGACTGATTAAATTTGCATTAAAGACTCCACTTTTCTCCCCCTCGACAATCGTGAGGGATCACGCGGATTTATTGGTCGGTCGGTTGAAGGGTTCTCGCAAGGCTTAGGAACCGCTTCAGTGAGAACGTTGCCTAGATTGGACTGATTTCATTGTGACAACTTGGCGTTCAGGCCGCCCACCCTTCTCTTTTTCACAATGACTTCTATGACGGGCGGAGGAAATGACCATTTAAGCTTGACACTCCATTTGCATTTAAAATTATTTAGCTTAAGAGTAGTATTCGGCCGAATGCTTAACACGAAGTGATATTATGTGAAGAATATTAATAACGAGAATCTATGGGCGTTTTACGTCCACCAGCAACACTGGAAGAAGAAGAGCGCCACTGAGCTGGGGGTAGTTTGGGAGATCTCTGTTTAATTCTGTCACATTAACGACACTGATGGCACTCTGTGTGGTCCCCATTTAGAGACAAACTCTTCATATTCTTAGCGTCATTTTAGAAATGGAGTGCTTGTATTCAGGAGCGGGACTGTTTACCCCTCCGTACTTCTACACTCCTCCGCTGAGTCAAATGTAGTTCCTCCCTTATTGACATTTCAATTTTTGCATGATCTTCAGAGTCTAAATGTTGCACGCATTTGTCAGTATATTTCAGCCGTAGCTTTATTTACAAACACCACTTTGATGCTTTTCGCTGTAAAATAGAAACTGTGGTTTATCAAACTCACACACTGTTAACAGATTGTGCCATTCGGTCACGATTCAGATTAGAACGCATTTATGCAAGATATACATATTTATGCAAGATAAACACAAACGAGCAGGATATACACGAAGCCACTTCGATTACGAAACATTTGGCGCACATGAAACTCGTGTTCTTGTATTCGTACTTATATACGTATGGATTCATGTGTAGATATTGACTCAGATATTAGTGCTAGATGATTACCTCACGACACGACTAGCCTACGGGATGTTAGCTCGGTGCCGGAAAGTATTGAACGACAGGCGTTCCGTCAAGGCGTCCACGCAGGACTACGGTGGATAACTAGATGGGTTATCTCAAAACTGCAGATTTTCCCAAGCCGTTACGAGAATAATCATTGATCACTCATTTCAGTCAATTAGTGAGTCTATTGCATAACGTTGTTTTGATGTTTCAATAAGAATTCTAGACACCGGCAAACGTAGCGAGTTATAACTAACTTGTTGTCGTTATGACAGTCCATAAAATGGCCATTTGTTGTCTGCAGCCGCTAGGATGGTGTCGTTATACCAGTGAATAACGCACCCTGCTGGTTTTTTAGATTATGTTGGAGATGTGCTCTTCCATTTAACTATAATAGGAAATGACCTGCTTAGCTGACGTAGTTTGGAAAAGAAATCGTGTTTTTGAAAGTAGGCTGTGGTGAGTTATTGGGAGATGAGGTGGGGAAGCGTATACCAGGGGTTAGAGCAGAGACAAGTCGGCTGGGGTGTCACGGGCGACAGAAAGGTGGGTGGGGTGTCACGGGCGACGGAAGGGGGATAGGGTGTCACGGGCGACAGAAAGGGGGATAGGGTGTCACGGGCGACAGAAAGGTGGGTGGGGTGTCACGGGCGACGGAAGGGGGATAGGGTGTCACGGGCGACAGAAAGGTGGTAGGGGTGTCACGGGCGACAGAAAGGGGGATAGGGTGTCACGGGCGACAGAAAGGTGGGTGGGGTGTCACGGGCGACAGAAAGGTGGTAGGGGTGTCACGGGCGACAGAAAGGTGGGTGGGGTGTCACGGGCGACAGAAAGGGGGATAGGGTGTCACGGGCGACAGAGAGGTGGTAGGGGTGTCACGGGCGACAGAAAGGGTTGGGGGGTGGGGGTGTCACGACCGACAGAAAGGGGTGGGGATGGTGTCTCACGGGCGACAGAAGGGGGGGTGTCACGGGCGAAGGAAGGGGGTGGGTGTCACGACCGACAGAAAGGGGGATGGGGTGTCATGGCGACAGAAAGGGGGATGGGTGTCATGACCGACACATTGGGGTGGGGGTGGTGTCTCACGGGCGACAAACAGGGTGTGTCACTGGCGGCAGAAAGGGGGCTGGGGGTGTCACGGGCGACAGAAAGGGGATGGGGTGTCACGGGCGACAGAACAGGCCGGGAGCGGTCACACCCCAGAGGACAGGCAAGGGGGAACGGGGCTTTCTATTATGAGGCCATGAGGAATGACTGAAATTGCTTTTTAATTCAATGGAACTAAAATGGGTTGGATCCTAACAGTGGAGGGGAATGACGAGATGTAAAGAATCTTCAACGCATGAACGGGATCGACCACCGACCTATGCCGCCATGGCATTCTCTCTCATGGACAATGTAGCATTCAATGTTCTGTATGGTGTTGAGTGAGGGGTTTTACAATGTCCCGGGATTGAATCAACAGAACATTTATCATTCGTCGAACTCAAATCTCACCATACTTACACAAAATGTTAAACGCCTGTCGGGACGTTTTCTTCTCTAACTATGAAGTATCCGTACTAACCCAGAGGCTTGTGAACTCAAAAGTTTTTGATTTCGACCCCCGACCAACATCAGCATCCTTCTTCTTCACACTTGAGAAACATTGATGCAGTTATATATTAACATGAATTATGTACTTTTCGGAGAAGAAAATGAGACCTTAAAATCCTTTATAAAAGTTGTCAAGTTATAATTGATAGAAATCGTGTTCAGTGTTATGTGAGTTTAGCCTGTCACTTACCTTATGCACGTTTTCATGTATTACATAAAGCAAAAACCGGAACTCTTTGTAAGATTGTTAAAGGGTCGAAACAAAGGTCCAGTGAGATTCCCATAGACAAACGTTAATAAAAAGAATATACGTCATTAATATATTGCTCATTATTTTAATCAATTTTTAGGGTTACATATTTTTTATCTATTTGGAGGGTATTGTCTCGAAATGAAATATTTTCCGTATAAATAAGTTATGCCATGAGTCAGTCTTTGAATTAAATATACCTGCAGTGTAATCGTTGGGGTATTTCTCCAGTAGCACGTGCTTCCTGTAGTGCAATGTATAAGCCAGGCACGCACGACCTGCACGAGGAAGTGTTCCTCAGTATGTCGAGGCGGGGCATTCGAGTAGGTCACGTGACGTGAACATTCTCTTGCGCAAGTTTTGTTTTACCTTCAAATACACCTCGGCTCATCCTGCTTCTCTGACTGACTTCGCTGGTTCACAAACGTGTCTTGTGCCAAGCCCTGACTGTGTATACATGTCACAATTTAATCTCAAATTAAAACTGAAACATTAATATATCACTCTATGATATATATGTATGAAATATTTTTAAATTTGATAATAATAATAACTCTTTGAAGTAGGATTAATATGTATGAATCTTAGCATTTTACAGTTTACGTTTTCTGTGATTACAAAATACCAATATATATAATGGCAAATCTCTGTAGAGAAACTTTATTACTTTTTAAAAATTATTTATTGCATTTTTGAAAACTATAAATGGGAGCGAGTTTGAAAATGAACTTTTATGGCAACAACATTAAGGGAGTTGAATAGAATGTTCTCTCAGCCCACCTTTATCACGCCAGGCTAAATAGAACGCGGCTTTGACCAACAACATGTCTACACACGGCGCCTTTATTTAGCATAATTAATTGGCTGAACATTTCCCCTCCGACATTATTACTTTCATTTGTAACCGATGAAGATAAAGGCTGACAACATTAATAGCCCAGCACAAGGAAAATGTAAATGATCAATGCTTATTATACGAGGAGTATATTTGGACAATCAGCGGAGGTTTTGTTATGAGAAATAATACGGCGGGATAGTTTGCCGTCCTTGGGTTACGTCCGGGTTTTGTGAGTTCGGCCATTGTTCCCCTGCACTTTGTGTCTTCAACAACTACCATTCGTTCGTTGGAGCACAGAGGGATATTTATAATAACTTTATTCCTCATCATAAAGCATAAGAAGGGCTACGATATGCCATTGTTAAAAAGCAGAATAATATCATTTTTTTCAGTTTCATAAATTTGCATGCGCCAGTTTCCATGTTTCCCTTCGTGTGCAATATTTGCAGTTTAGGGTTAATCCTATAACCTGTTCTGTTCGTACAATGAAATGTCTTCTTTTTAATAAAGTTATTTACATTATTTCTTCCTTGAAAAATACAAATGAAAGAAATTTACATTTTGAAAAGTTACCTTAGGAAACGTTACCTTACATATGATTTGTTGTGTACAAACTTGGGGGTGTATGGAGTCGATATGTGAATGTATATATCTAAGCACAGATCACTAAGAAAATTATAAAATATTTTAACACAACAAATAATGGCGGTGATTTGGTCTATCTATATTTGCATTTTAGTAACACGAGACGACTAAAACTTGCTCTGTGCCTTTACAAAACAAACATCTATAAACGTCATCCAGTGTGAACAAACAAAGGCCGAGATTTTAAGTGTTCTGATAGATCGTCAAAGGTGTTCCGCGATTAAATTTTAATTTCATGCTCTTTCTCTTTCAGGTTATCATCGTTACGTGATCAACAACAATATGTATCCCCCCTACCCCTTCCAGATAGGAGCGGAGTCACTCCCACTTCTTCCCAGCGGCGTGGGGGGTACGTCCGGCCCCGCCCAGCAGTCGTCCTTCACCCACAGAATATATGAACTGCATAAAGGTATTATTATTATTATTATTTCATACTTTCATATGTTTGACATTATTCCATTGTATGATCTTTTCTTTATATCTATTATCGCTCATCATTATTATTAAAGTCTGATATGTAACGAATCGTGTTATATAGAAATTATCATGGTCCAATATGCAATCTGAATTGATGAAAGCGAAAAAGCGAGAAACACGAAGAGAACTTATATATGCATATCTGCATTAGACGCTGTCCCACCATTTACAGTTAAAAAAGCAGTTATAAAACAAAGAACATGCACTTAATCAGTTAATGCACGAGCATAACAAATTTAAAACCTTACAAATCTATATCTACTACACCGCTGCTACATATTTCCATATTAAATGGCAATTGTTTTAGAACTATATCCTGTATTAATTTTCTATCCAAACACATTTGGGCCTGATCCAAATCGCCAGACTCATATGAAAATAAACCAGAAACCGAATCAATTATCTGATGACATATTGTTCCATGATAATAGTTATTCGACTACTCTTTCAAATTCTTCCTCCGCTTATTTGCATCATATGATGTGGCCCAGTGCTTGCGACCCTCTGGGAGAACATCCAGTGTTTTCGGACCCACGTTAATGCACGTACCGGTGATATCTTATATATGTATTAAGATACATTGATATATGAAAATAAACAGGAATAAACAGCTTACCTTTTCAAGCGTATATACACTATGGACGTCGGAGTTATGTGTTATGAGTTATGCTTTCTGTCCAAAAAAACAAAAAACAGTCAATTATTGATAAGACGTCAAATGTCATATTCTACACGTGATGTGTTTCAACAACGAACGCGTTAATATTGCATGACGTTTCAGAATATATCACGATAATGTTAAATGCATTTTATTAATAAACGTCAATGATTTGTGCAGCTTCATGCATCAATATCTGTCGTCATATTGGTGTCCTTTCTGCTTAAATATTTTCGTATATTATTGATACACTGCAATATGGATATATATGTATTAAACTAATCATGATAGAATGATAATATGTTATATTGTCTGCCTAAAATGCGAATTCATAAAAAATATATATGGACGGTGACAGCTGTCACTATCGGTTCATCAAAGATTTTGACCTTATCCTCTGCACCCACCGCCCTTTGTGAGTTGTCCTCTTATTGGACAGCTTTGTTTACTCGCTATCTCTGTGATGCTAATAACGTAATTTATTTTGTTTCATAAATACACCAAATCTCTGGCTAAAGAGAAATCTTAGACCGAGTGTCATTAAATATAGATTAGACTTGAAATGACGCTTGGATATCGTTTGTCATTTTAATTACTGACTGTTGATTTGTTTAGAGACATTCACATTGCTGTCGCTTCAGATAATGACAGGAAATAGTTGAGATTTTCCGGGAATATATTTTTTTATTCCGAGTATTGCTTTATTTCAAATTCTAATAATTTCTTTCTTTCCGTCACGTGAAATGTACATTGGAGTATTCCATACGTCCGTTTATGTATTCATAATTTTATGTATTCTTAAATGGAAAATCTTTTAATCGTGACCCCTCGAATGTCTATTTTCTCAGTGTTTTATATACTAGGTGTGTGTGTGTGGGGGGGGGGGGGGGGGGGGGGATTTGTGTAATTATATTGTCAGCTTTTAATTCTTAAAGTTAAGCACGTACCTGAAGTAAAAGGTTGAACAATAGCTTATGCGCGACAGCCGTGAACGTTACCGTACCATATACTAATAGACATTGCATGCGTCATCTCATTCCATGATTTAACATAGACATAATAGGACTCTTTAGTAAGGATAAGATATATGAATGAACTTCTAAATGAAGGACTCTTTAAGGTTAAAGATATAAATATTTATCTCACGCAAACCAGATCATTTTCAAAATTGATATAAGCATTAAAACAACTTTCTCCAAATGGCATGGCAATAAACAGGTGGAGAAGTTACATGTAGATTTCAGTGTTACATATCTGCTATATTGTAAGCATTGTCAATATCAGCTTGGTATGTACAGCCAGGTGCCGGTCTGTAGCGTGCAATCAGCACCACACGTGCTGTAATAATGTTTCATACACATGTATGTCAGTAATTAGTGATTGATATTTAATGATTAGTGATATGTTGTTCAAAGGGATGTGGAGATTTTAAATCCATATTTATGCCAATAAATGTCCCTACTATGACATATTTAATTTTTGACGAGCGACTGGGAATAAGATTTTTTTTAACTCCTCCGTAGGATGTAGGTGTAGTTATGATGCAAATCACACGACTGTTTCTTTATTTCAATGTTTAAATGATATTTAAAACATCGACTCTCCCCTATAACAGTGTTGTGTTTCCTTGTCATGCTAATTTATAACATTGCAAAACAATCGAAACTATTGAAGGTTAATGGGTTTTTTATTTGAATTTCAAAAGAGATAAAATAAGGAAAATTAATCCAGATAATTTTACGTATAGTCATGTCCATGTGAAACGGAAACATGTTGGGATCCATATACAAGTTTAGATCTTATGGAAACGATACAATTCCGTCACGGAAATTCTCTTTATTTAATATTTCGTAACATGCAAAACCATCGAGTATCGTTGAAGGGTTCAGCTGTTTAACTATCATATAACTTGAATATGTTGCCCGAAGGTGGAGTACGTAGTCTTGTCTTCTTGTTGATGCGGTCTGCCAACATATCTCTGACTTAAATTGAGAGTAGCGTCCGAGACTGCATGTCTGGCTAGACACACACTGCTTGCTTCAAACACTCAATCTGATCTGGGATTAACAACACTATCTTGACACGAAAATCCTTAAACGGCAATTTGGAGACTGATATATTAAAAAACGATCCTGAAGAAAATAATTAAACCTTATGTTACAGGTGTAGCGCTAGCTTAGCAGAGGTCGTTCAAGGTCATAGCTTATCCGTTGTTTGGCCTTCTTTCCCTATGGTCGACACTAAGAACTATTCAGTTCAATATAGGGCGGCTCTCTGATCTCAGATATAGCAGAACTGGATTGCGGATTTTAATCATCTTGATCTGATTAACAAACGACTCTTCACAAATGTTAACGGACGTTATTAACAAAGACGGGATTCAAATTGAACTTTGGCATTCTATTCATTATATTACAGTGGATATATATTATATATTCCGAGTTTTGAAAGTTTTAACTTCTCACGTCGAGACGTTTACATATTTTGTAAATCAATTTACTGATCATACATTTGTTTGATATTATGTTCATCGGAATCAATATTTCCCTGAAGCCTTGGAGTTTTTTCAGATCAACATATTGGTGTTTGATTTGTAGATTCATTTCAATCCATCAGATATATGTATCAGATTTATTATGAAACATTAACCGTTTGATAAAGATGTGAAGGGTTTTACGCCACTTTTAGCAATATTTTAGCAAATAAAATTGGTTTCACCAACTGTACCCATGCTTGGAATCGAACCGGGCGTGACGAACCAACACTTCCCCCACTGAACTACCCCACAGACCGAAATTTAAAAAAAATGTTAATGAAGTGTATTGTTTTCTTCCAGACCCCTACCTAGCTAATACGGGGGCTGCCGTTTCTCAAGCCGGTGGCTACTTCAGCCTCCCAGGGAACACCGTGTCCCTCCCCAGCCGCCCTTCCTCGCCCCAGCCCCAGCCAGGAATAGTCACATTTAAACAGGAGAGTAAGTACGAGCCTATAGTCACAACAGAGAGGCCCAGTAAACATGAGAAACGATCGCACAGCACCAAACACGAAGGAGGCAAGAGCGAGTGCAAACATGGTAGAGAAAGTGATAGAAAGGAGAGAGGAGACGGGGAGACCAAGTCGGAAACTAAGGACAGTCATAAGTCAGAAAAAGGTCGGAGTAAAAAAGGTGAATCTGTGGACAGCGTGTGGAAGAAGTCGAAGGTGCACGAGGTGCACGAGGTGCACGAGCATGAGAGGCAGAAGGACGTCGGGGGCGAGGAGAAGATGTCCGATAAGACGAGCAGTAAACATTGTATCGGCCCCACCCCCATCTCTGGCAATGTGAAGACTCAAAGTATCACCACCCTCCCCACTGTCACTGTCACTGCCAGCGGAACAACAGCTTCGCACTCCACTTCCGCCTGTACCGGAAGTACGCAGAGTGTATTCACATGCGTCCAACCTGTCACTGTTGCCACAACTCAAGGTAGGTATCGAAAATGACTTTAGAAAAACAGCTCGACCTTGTTTGCCATCATATATATTTTTCATTTATTTTCCGTTTTAATGGAAAAAAGTGACAAATAAATTTCATATGGTATATATTTAAAATATACTTATTACATTTTCAGGTTCCCAAATGACCTCTATAAACAGTGTGAAGGCCCAGGGTAAGACGGCCTCCGCCCTACCATACTATCACAATATGTACTCTCACCCCCATGGGAACAGCCCCCCTGTCCAGGGGCCGAGGAAAGTGTATGCTACAACATTTGTGCCTGAAGTGGGGACTGTTAATGGTCCCCTTGACAAGTCTTTACCCAAGTTATGTGAAACTAGGGTTAAGTCAGAAATAGTTCGGACGTCTTGTTGTCGTGAGAAACATAGCTCCTTGTCCTGTCCTCCGTCCTCTGACCAACACACAGATAGAAACTCCGACCCACCCTCCAAACATTCCAGCAGAGCTTCTAAGTGTCGGACAAGTGGCGACACTAACTCTAGGTCGTGTGACGACAGACAGAATCCTTCGCCTGTGTCGAGCACAGGCGAGTCATGTGTTGTGCGAGCAGGATCCGATGCAGCTGGTGTCAGTAACTATGACGACAGAGGTAGTGGTAGGACTACTTCCGGTAAGACCGAGCATGCGTGTGAACCGGAAGCGCTGGACTACACGACAACACAGACATCTCGAGTGTGTGCGCGACATCAGGTTAAGTCATCACCTTCTAAATCAGTGTGCCCCACGAACGCTACCACTAGGTCAGATCAGAAAGTTTCAGCGCATGTGCAACCGACAGGTCTCGGGAAATCTCACGAGTTTCCACCAATTCACGTGAGTTCATCCAGTCCCGACACCAAGCCAGATTCAACCACTCCCCAAGACCAGTCTGAAAACCAGACGGGTGCAGCGAAACAGGAGAAAACAATTAGTAAAGACAGTGCTGAAACGAACGCTGCATTAAACTTGACAAAGGCCAAAAAAAGTAGCAAAGCGTCTGATGCATCTCAAAAGAGCAAAGACAAACCGTTGGATGTGAGGAAGACGGAGGTTCCTGTGGAGAGGGGGAAGAGATGTGGGTCTGCGCCACCCCAGACAATTATCTCATCCAGTCAGGAGGAGGTGGAGATCGACCCCGGGACGGAACAGAGTGACGGCCACACAGAGAGGGTGGAGGAAAATCTCGAGCATACAGGTAGGCAAACATAACATCCTGGTCCACGGTTGGTAAGGTAGTGGTTGAAGTTTTGGTTTGTCGCGCCGAAGTCCCGGGTTCGATTCCATTGGTACAACGTGTCAAGATCACTTATTTCAAACCGCTGCGATATCGCTTGAATATTTCTATAAGCGACGATAAACTCACTCTCATACAACTGAATAATTACATGTTAATTTCCACCTCATCCCCCATAGTGGTGATACCTTGGAAGGACAGGTTTCTGTATCGTTGTTTGTCGTTAGAGCAGACTGAAGAGAATGGGGAGGTCAGGCTGGGTGACATGGGTGATTGCTTGCCATCGGGTCCTGTTGGCGTTAGTGGTTATCTGTCCCAGACTCAGTTAGCAAAACGTCGCGTGATAAGCTGGAATATTGCTGATAGCGGCGTAAAAATAAACTTACCCCTCGTCGCCATAAAAGGATATCCACTGTAAGACTGTATCTACCTGAACGTGTATTAGTTGTCCATTCAATATGCACACATGTCTTTGCTTTTTTTTTGCAGGTGGGAACATCCCTGTTGGTATCGCTGTTGCCCGCCAGAGGGCGGAGCAGCCGAGAGGTCAAGGTGAGATATCCATTAGCATAGGTTAGCGATCTCGGTTGGGCGTGATGGTGACTATCCACTCGTAGAACCAATTGTCCGTGTAAGAATGGCGAAAGCCTTGTTTGCACATACAACACTTCTCGTTTTCCGGCCCAGTCGGAGAACCTCGGAAACGTAATACGACGTTTTAATGTGTGTTTCCGTCAAGTATTAATGATATATTACCCATGCTCCCCAACACCCACAGGATCTGCAACAATACTAGCCAGCCTAGTTTGGCGACGAAATGGACGTTTACCGGAATCAGCTGTTTCCTACAAACTCATAAACTTCATTAAACTATCTTGGCCATAAAAACGCCAATCCCCGAACGGTGTTTGAGGTTAGCCTGACGGTGGTTAATATCATTGCAGGGAGCCAGTCAATAACGATTACTGCGTTAAAAGCGGGCGACACCTGTAGGTCAGCGTCATAATCCCCCGCTCATTCTCTTTAAGCCCTTTCAACCCACCGCACACACTGTTATTCATGTGTGACGTCATGTTCCAGATCCCCATGGAGCCAGGACTCAAGCCCCGCCCCCTGATGCCCCACCCCGGGGGTTGGGGGAGGAAGACTCCTCCGCGAGACAGTATTCCCAAGACAGGGAGGAGTTTCTTAGGTACAGTGCACCAATGTAGTTCTAATACTGCAGGGCGGTCCAAGCGCATCAATACATAGATCTATTCTATTCTGAAACTTAAAATCTACGATGGGCGTTGACATATCATTCAGCTATGAAAATTGCATTAAATCGTCTGAACATTTATTGGGTTACAATGCGACATTGCGTTTGTGAATGAATTTTGTATGTTATTATTTTACTCAACGTCAGTTCATTATTTGTCACTTTTATATAAAATTTATAGCCAAACCCGAAGGGCATTGTTATCCCAATTCCTTTGTTAAGCACCAGTTTGTATAGAGTCCCCTTATACCGTAAGACAACACTTAACATGCATTATCAAATGTACTTAACAGGCAGCAGAAAGCCATTTTGTCTGGTCAAGCCAAGGTGACGGTCAACACTGGACTTCCGCCAAATTTGGTTGTCACAGGTAAGTTGTTTAAGTCACAGATGGGGAAGCCTAGCGGTTAAACCATTTCCTCGGCTCGCCAAAGACCCAGGTTCGATTCTCAAAACGGGCACGCTGTGTGAAGCGCATTTGTGTTCTCCCGCTCCGTGATATGAGTGAGAAAGTATGGTTTTGCGCCGCTTTTTGCAATACTCCAGCAATTTCACGGTTGGGGACACCCGAAATTGGCCTAAAATTCTACCCATGTTGGGAATCGAACCGGGTGTTATTATATTAACAACTAGACTACCTCACCGCCTTTGTTTCGTGATATGGCTGGAATAATTTTATAAGCGGCTTAAAAAAATTCTCATTGTCATAAGTCGTAGACGAATGCCATGAAATACCTGATGTTAAACACTGTTCACGAGCGTTGTAGCGTTTGATACACGGCTCCTTGCTCCTGGCCCCTGGCTCCAGTGACAGCTATGACGCTGATCACAAGGCTCACAATACTCCCGCGGCTCCAAGCTGGGGCAATTGTTAAAAAAGTGATGTATTTTGTCATCGTTTGAAGTATTTTTATTTCCTTAATCTTCACACTGCATAACGCTTAAATCTATTTTAAACCCACTAAATATGGATCGTCATAAAACCGAACATAAGCGAAGTTATTAATATGTAGCATGCATAATGAGTAATACAAATCATTATCCATGGGGGCTTTAATGTATTCAAGCGAGAAGATATAAACATGAAACCATCCAGTGAAGATATAAAAAAATCCTTTGTCGCTGCTACCCGACATAAAACAACATTATTTGCATCGGGATTTATGGAAATATGAAAATGATATATACGCTGTGTTATCATTTCATGTGCCTTGTGTTGTGGTCGAATAACCCACTGCCATGTACTGGTGCATAAATGAATTTTACCTCTTCTTAAATACCAAATTGTCCATTAAGTACTCGGTGGTGCTTGAAATGTTGAATGACAAATTGCTGTTTATACGAATATTTCGTGCAGTGCACTAGGATATGAATTATTCTCCACTGTTACACGCATTTAGTTGCTTGTACACCCAACTATCGTGATGGGACCGGCTGCAGAGGCCGGCCACGGTGATGGGACCCAACCCCAGTTTAGGCGTCCTGCCATATGTGCCACAAGCGGAGACCCTTAACGAAATTACTCCATTGTTGATCATGGGTATTAAATGTCTGAAAGGGGATGTTTTAATTTAGATGCGTACTGAATATATTTATCAATATCTATTCATCGAAGTTACCAGGCATAATAAAGGCTGTTAAGTGCGGAAGATAACACCATTAACAAAGCAAGGGGAAGTATTCATTTGATTAAACACTTTGTTTGTTTGTTTGTTGTTTAACGCCGTACTCAGCAATATTCCAGCTATATGGCGGCGGTCTGTAAATAATCGCGTATGGACCAGACAATCCAGTGATTGACAATATGGGCATCGATCCACGCAATCGGGATCGATGGCATGCATCAACTAAGTCAGCGAGCCTGACCACCCGATCCCGTTTGTCGCCTCTTACGACAAGCATAGTCAGTCGCCTTTTACGCCAAGCAGATGTTGATGAAGACCTATTCTAACCAGATCTTCACAGGCCGATTAAACACTTACGCAAAACATGTTGATATTTTAACATTTGTTCATATCGTTTGAGAGGGGAAGCAATCCCTTCATGAATGCGTCTTAGGAATGTAGTCTATATTTCCACAAGCCTATGTATACGAAAGGTTTCATTTCATGGGAATGTAACGCGAACTGATTTATAGATGTGAATACAACATTCTAAAACATATTCTCTTATTTTGTCTAGTGTTAACATCTGAATTACTGCAATCCACCGAAAGGTTTGGCAATGTTTTACGAATGTATTTGGTGTGTAAAGCAGACAAGCCAATTGTGTCTTTTTTGCTTTATGAGTGTGTCTCGAGTTACGCTTGAAGGAACCCGCAAAACGTCAACAATCAGAAAAGACGGCTTCCCTTGCCGAAGCCCGGAATTAGGTTTCATATCGCATTCCCGTTGCCACGGTAACGATTTATGCGTTCCCACACCAACTCTAGTCATGAATAGCTAACTGCATCTCGGAAGTCGGTTTGATGAAGTATTAGGAATGAAGTAATTGTTTTGAGGTATTTTTAATGAAGCAAGTCGGGTGAAACTTGAGACATCTACACAAACAATATAGCGGAAAACTGATACTACCATGTGGTTGCCAGCCACGGAAGCGGGATGCTCGGACTTAATGGAATACATAGTAATGTAGTTAGTTATCGCTTTTGAATTTTGTAGTAAACGCCGACCCGAAACAACAAGACAGGTCCATTCCATGTTGCATATGCACGTCATATACTATTACAAATGATCAGCATACACTATAAGATTGTAGCGTTCACTGTTAAGTTAAATACGTCAATGTTGAAGATTAAAGATAAGAATTATAATATTTACAAGCAGTTATGTAAATCAAATTTAATTTGCGATGGCGGTTTTATCATTGAAGGAGTATGTTGTAAAAAAAACAACCAATCCAACTTATATCTATGGTTGCTTTCTTTCAGGGAGCGTTGCCGGAAACGACACCGGCCTTCAAGATGACCTGCGTGTACGCCCTCTAGCGAGTCAGTGGGTTGCTGCAGGACACAGCGTCAACCCCAACCCCTGGCTGTCTCAAAACCCCTTCGCCCTCCACCCAGCCATTACAACAACCTCAACCTCAACTTTGGACCCCAACCCCTTCCCTATAACCGCACCAAGTGGCTTCAAGATTGCTCAGGACTCCTTCACAGGAAACCTGTTCCTTATACCAGCAGGTAATGGTTGCTCGGGGCTGGTTTTGTTTGTTTGTTTGTTTATTGTTTAACGCCGCACTCAGCAATATTCCAGCTGTATGACGGCGGTCTGTAAATAATCGAGTCTGGACTAGATAATCCAGTGATTGACATCACGAGCATCGATCAACATAATTGGGATACGATGAAATGCATCAACCAAGTCAGCGAGTCTGATCACCGATCACTTTAGTCTTACGACAAGCATAGTCACCTTTTACGGCAAGCCTAGGGTACTGAAGACCTATTCTACCCCGGGTCTTCACGGGTCTCGGGACTGGTGGCTGAAATATCATGCACTTAGTTTTTGTTAAGCCAACTGAACCTAATATCACCATATTAATTAATAAGTAATTCTCATTAATCTTGTAATGTATAATGTATAAGGGTCTTAGATTTACGATGCTAACTGGTACATGCGCACTCCATATTCATTACCCATTGTGAAGAGAGTTAATGTTTTAAACGAACGTATTGCCGTCATTGAAATACGAGTCGTAAATGAACTACCGTGTTGTTTACTACTCAAAGACACGCTGATTGATAGTATTAAACTTTGTAAAAAATAGACACAATCATAAATAATGTGTACATAGACTATGGAGTGTAATTCCATAGTTTTCGGTGATTTCATTCATCCCCCCGACCGTGATTGATTGCTTGAGCAGTGCATCATTCAAAGCAGGACAGGGCTCGCTCATCTTAAACATGTCATATATATGATCAAATATCTACGTATTACATACCTGCGATAACAGAACACGTCACGCTTGTTTACCGAGGAATATACCTTTGTAGTTTCTACAGGTTGATAACATAGCTATTTGAATTATACATGTATATTATTTACATCTCCTGTGTGTCTATGGTGTTCGTCCAACTAACCACGATAAGTGGACAAATATTAGACAAAGCGACAAATAAATCTACCTGTTCTAACTACTCAATCAGTGTCAACAGACCTGCCTATTAAGCTATAAGAAGACGATCAATTTTAAATATGAGAAGCCACGTCTACGAAAAATCACCTACGTGCAAGCTAATTCTGAATACTTTATGTATTTACATTCAAATAAACAAGGATTATACAACTCAAAAGAAGTCAAAGAACACCCGAGTCTTTCATATTGCTATAATTAATCTGTCATGTCATGACATATTTACTATAGCAATCTGAAAGAATCGGGTGTTCTTTAAATACTTTTGAGTAGGATAACTATGGCATTATGAAAGAATCGGGTGTTCTTTAACTTCTTTTGAGTAGAATAACTATAGCAATCTGAAAGAATCGGGTGTTCTTTAACTTCTTTTGAGTAGGATAACTATAGCATTATGAAAGAATCGGGTGTTCTTTAACTTCTTTTGAGTAGGATAACTATGGCATTATGAAAGAATCGGGTGTTCTTTAAATTCTTTTGAGTATGATAACTATAGCAATATGACAGAATCAGGTGTTCTTTAACTTCTTTTGAGTAGGATAACTATAGCATTATGAAAGAATCGGGTGTTCTTTAACTTCTTTTGAGTAGGATAACTATGGCATTATGAAAGAATCGGGTGTTCTTTAAATTCTTTTGAGTATGATAACTATAGCAATATGACAGAATCAGGTGTTCTTTAACTTCTTTTGAGTAGGATAACTATGGCAATATGAAAGAATCGAGTGTTCTTCAACCTCTTTTGAGTAAAATAACTATAGTAATATGAAATAATCGGTATTCATTAACTTCTTTTGAGTAGTATATTTCACGCATTAATTCATTTGAATATATGTAATTTATCGTTATTAACGATTGTTTGTTTTCAGATTATGTTGAGCAGGGTGGCGGATTATGGCCGTTTCCCGCTACCCACGGGTCCCAGCCTCCCCCAACTCACTTCCAGCACCTCCTCCAAACTTCCCCTGTCCCCCACCTAGCCCAGATGCCAACCCTCGGGAGTCCCCAACTACACGAAGACCATGATACGGAAACACCCGATCACACCCCCGTAAGTTGATCCCGTAACGGAATGGGTGACCAAGACGCTTTGAACAGTACTTCATTTGTGTCAGGGAGTGAGTGTGGTGTATGTAACTCGCTTGAACTGTATTCACTTATTTAAAGGCGTGTCAGGTCGATGATGACGGAGAGACCGCAGAGATGACGGTCCTAGACTATTATAGAATATTATCACGTTATGTAAATATAAGCGACAAAACCCATATCCGTAATCATAAGTAATCTTTTTTAAAGCTGAGTCCATTGTACCGTTTATACTATATCATGAGCATGTGTTTATGAATCAATATCAAATAGTGATGATACTACGAACATGGGTGTTGGACTCTGCACAGATATCAATTGTATCGTGTCAGTTTGCTGTTGGAGTAAACCCGTAAACGTTTAACACTGGTAAAAGTACTTGTCTCTCCCAGACCTTAGATAATAAATTATGAAAAGGTACTACCATCCAACTCAGGTCTAGAGTAATTTTGCAAGTCTACATTTCCTCAGCTCTAGCTCTGAAATTTAGCATTGTTCTGGGCTCCATTTAGATTTTATTTTGTAGATACTTGTTTATATTTTAGAAATTATATAATTATATTTCTGGGGATGAATGTTAGTCTAGGTGTTGAGTAACCCATTGCGAAACTGTTTAACGCTTCAAATAAATTTCTAAATAAAAGGTTGAGGCCATTAAAGAAAAAAGAAATTAATTCAAAAGAGACACATGCGTCATATGTTTGTCCCCTGTCCTCAGGGTAGTCGACAGAGCCCAGACATCGGGGACCAGCGGGATGATAGCGACCGTGGATCCCAAGGCCAGTGTGGCAGCCGTTCTTCCTCCCCCGGGTCACGGCCGACCTCTGGGTCAGGGAAGGAGAAGACCCCTACACCTCAAAGTCCGCCCGGCACCCCCGGGAGTCCCCAGGACAGAGAGAAGCCCATGAACCTCCCGAACCAGTACATTCCTGGTGAGAAAACGAATTGAAGCAATACACCATGACTTGTTTTGAGTTTTCTTAAATGTTGCAGTTTAAGGTTTTATATGTAACATGTTTGGGGTTTAGTTTAATTTCGTTTGTTTGTTGTTTAAAGCCGCACTTAGCAATATTCAAGGTGATATATGTCAGGGGCCTGTAAATAATTGAGTCTGGAACATTCAAACCAGTGATTGATGTTATGAGCAACGATCCATGCCGTCTGGGTACGATGACACACAGTCAAACAAGCCACCGAGTCTGACCTCACGATACATTCCATCGCCTCTTACGACCATCAGTGGTTGCTGAGGACCTACTCTAACCCGGAATCTCAACGGGAATACAATTTACATCGTTGTACAAGCCAAAAGTCTGGAAAGCCTTTTTTCCGGACAATAACTTTGGGAATTTTTAGATTTAAAAGGAAATTAAAACTTTCCCTTGTTTTTATAATCCGTTGTATTTTTAATCAGGGCTATTCTTCTTGTTACCGTTCCATTAACGGGCTTTCACTTTATAAGGCATACCGATGTATTGTTAACACTTTTGTTGTAGTAATATAACGAATTGTATTTCTGTTGACAGATATGGCCGTGGCGGCCCAGCAGTACACCTATCCCTACCCCACGGGACATCTGCCGTATATGTTCAACCCTGGTCTCATACCCGTCCAGGGGATGCCTGTCAACCTGTCCGAGCCCCTCACAGTCAAGACAGAACCCCCCTCAGTCCAGTCACGCGGTACCTCCCCCATGGTTCTCACGCCCCCTCCCTCCGACGAAACAACTAAAGTGGAACCAACTTTCAAAGAGGCTGCAGTGTATGCGGACTTCCCCAAACCTGTGACCAAGTGCTGTGCTTCTGTACAAACATGTGACTTTGGTCCCCCTGCACCAAGCAGAACACTTAAAGAACAATGTAGCCAAACCTGCCACGAGCTTGATTTATCCAAAACAGAAACATTACTCAAAGCTGCTGAAAAACTGAGCAAGCTTTCAGACTGTGCTTCACAAAGTGAGCCTGAGAATCGCGCACCTAGTCCAGTGATAACACCAAAGACTGACCCATCCAGTTCTAGTTCCAGTACAACCAAGGCAACAGCAGATTACAATCCCTTTACAGACCCCCTAATACTGAAGGCAGCAGATGGTTTGGAGTTGCTCAGTGCACTGGCGGAGAGGAGAGCCAAGTGTAGCTCTCCAAGTCAAACACCCAGTGTCCCCGCCTCCACCACCTCCTCCCCCGTCCTCGCGTCCACTTCCTCATCCACATCCACATCCACATCCGCATCCACATCCACTTCCACCACCAGCATTCTCTCCTCACCCACCAGTGGAATCACATCTCCCAGCAACATTCATAACATCCTCCCCTCACCCAGTGACTCCTTCAAATCCGACAACTTCACGGCAGAAGAGACGTCATCAGTTGACGCCGACAGGTCCGGAGACGTCACACCTAAGCGTGACGTCAAGAGGGGTATCATGTCACCAAAATGGACCTTCCCTAAGAAAGACACGAACCCGTCAGTACTCACCATCGGTGGAATAAAGATCCCAACAGGTACCTATCTTAAATGTGTTAAATATGTGTCGAGGATTAAGTTCAGGGTATTGGAATCAAAAGAAATATCGACATTTAACTTTTCTTATGTTATACTCAAATGGTTAAACGTTTAAGGCTTTTTTAATCGAACTAAAAGAAGGTACAGTAGCTCACATAAGGGAAATTTGTGACGACTGGCAAAAACCTTCCCTCCCTTACAGTAGCTATCTTCTCTGTTTGCGCTCACTCCTTCTCATTCTCATTAATAACTTACTTCTAACGATCTTATGATTTTGTTTACTCTTGCACTGTTTTGTTTGCCCTATCGGCCACTCTTAGACTCAGGGAAGCAGATCTTCAATCTTTTCTTGACACAGGGCTAGACAGCATGGACGCCATGGAGGTGGAAATGCGCATGCGCTTGGCTGAGTTGCAGCGTCGCTACAAGGAGAAGCAGCGGGAGCTTGCCAAGCTGCAACCCAAGGTCAAGGACGGAAGCAAAGAACGAAGGGAGAGCAGAGACAGCAAAGAGTTTGTACAGGATGCCGCTAACACCAGGTACCCCACACTGTAGTACATGTAGCTTGTGGATTAGACGTGTGTTGCTAGTTTCAGATTCAGTATGATATGTCAGAATAAAATTAGCGTCAGTCTTGTTTAAACCATATTGGTTGCACACACATTTATCCCACGTTGTAAAAGGGGATATTTTATCAATTTAAAAACATAACATAAACGTGTGGAGCCGCTGGTCGTGTATATGATTTTAAGAATGAATAGTAATGTGCATGTGTATAATGCGTCAAATCCACACCCAAAAGCATGCTCAAAGCTCTACATTATTACTCCGGGCAACGGATCAGTGTGCACTCGAATTTCATTCTCAGCTCCCTGGGGACTATACAACCCAAACTGCCTTATGAGGCGCTAGAAGGTTAACAGCTCATTCCATCGGGTACCCATTCACTGCTGGGTGAAAAGAATCCTATGTCGAACAAAGTCCAAAGCCTAAGGAGGCACCGCATGCAAGAGGTGTTTCAGTGTGGGACAGAGCTAAAATGATTAGTCCCAGTTTTGTAAATGTGTGACATTAACAAGATGTGTATCATTTTTCAGTGACGACAAAAACTCAGCTAAAAGGAAACCCGGCCGTCCGAGGAAAAGGAAATTCTTTACCAAAAAGAAGGACGAGGACTCGTAAGTAATAGAATAGTAGCTCATCTAAATATCTGAACAGGAATAATGAAATCTGTTTGTCTGGACGTCATATTACTGTCTGGTTGAGTTCATGGGCCAGACTGATGAAGATGACTTGTTTATTTCTTGCAGACCCTCCAAGACCGCATGCAAGGAGTCACACACGAAGAAGAAACGCCTCCCCGAAGAACTGGTTGATAGAGTCTTCAGGAAGGTAGGTCATTAGCACCAATAGGGGTCCCGGGGAGGTTCTCAATAAGGTTCATGAATACACAGAATAGCTTTACAATTCGTGGGTTTTTAGAAGCCCATTGAAGGAAAGTCCTGTTGCTTTCAAATGTAGTGCTTTATTAGGGATATTTGAATCGGCTACGAAATTTTATTCAACACGTTCTGCATTCATGCATTAGTCATTGTGCTATTGTGACACTGTGTTATTGTGTTATTGTGTTTCTCTCACAGCTTCCTCCAGTGAAAAGTGACAAACTGAAGTCGATGAGGACGAAATCGGGCTTCTTCCTGAAGAGGAGGAGCAGTACCTCCAGTGGACGGTCCACGGCAGGTAGGGTCGATCCCTTGCATAGATCTGTGTGGGACACTGTTGTCAGTATAATCTCATGTTATGTTGGGCGGTCGGGTAGCCTAGTGGTTAAAGCGTTCGCTCGTCACGCCGAAGACCCGGGTTCGATTCCCGACATGGGTACAATGTGTGAAGCCCATTTCTGGTGTTCCCCGCCGTGATATTGCTGGAATAGTGCTAAAAGCGGCGTTAAACCATGTGTGCATTGTTTCTAACGCATATTTGGTAGGTAAGGCTTGAAACCCGTGAGATCATATCATCTTACAGTGTCTTAAACTAAGTGTCCCTTTTTCATTTCCATAAGTATGTGTTTAAAGCCGTGTGGGGACGTGTGTGACATCTCTGTGTGTGTTCTAAATCTGTTGTTTTATTGAATGAGAAGTTTTAAAAAGATGAATTAAAAAAGAAAATGCAAAAAATGGTGCTGTTAATGAATTTAGCAACCCTGGTGTACTTAACTATTTTCTCCTGGATGCATCATTAGGTTGTTAGTGGAGGGGTAGAGGTGGGCGTGGTTTGTGTGGTTGACACCTAGCATCTGAAGGGGCGTGCCAGCAAGCTATCAACACTGAGTAGCAGACATTGATTAATAGGACACACAGCTTACATTTCTGTGAACAAGATGTTTAAAGAAATAAAACAAACCCGAGTGGTCTGCGGTCTGGTAATATCATGTCATGTGTAGCTGTAACTGTTACAAGTGCCTTTATGTGAAGATTGTTCTGTTGAAATAGACAAGCCTGGATGGCATGTGTCGTGAATTTTTAACTATACGTAATGCTTAAAGTATACATTACTTCACATGCTCTTTGCAAATGCACATCTTACACATTAAATAAGGCACGCATTGCATATCATACAATCCGTCACTGTCTGACACTTTGTTAAAATATTCAACACGTGATATCGGAGGTGAGATATTCACTAATTGGAAATAGAGGTGCAATCTGTTCAGGCCTGTGTTCTTGTCGAGTAGTGAGTGAGTGAGTTGGGTTTAACGCCGCTTTTAACAGTATTCTAGTTTATCGCGGCGTGTCCGATTAATGTGGGAGGAAAGCCCGAAATGATGACGTTTACCACTTCGGTGAAACCAACGAGCACGGGTATGGTACTGACAAACCAAGAAACATAATCAGGGCGAATCGGGATTCGAACCCACAATCATAGGTTTCTGGCGTTAGGGACGCAACTCGGCACCCGTGCCCCTCTTATATAGCATAGTAAATGGGCACACATACGCTTAGGAGATACTGAACTACCGGACCAGAGAACGTATACACCCATGTTTGATAGTGGCTAAAAATGACACAAACACGAAATGGTTATTCGATGGTGATGTATTTGATACGGGTATCGCATGTGATATTAAATGCATCATATCAATGAGTATCTCAACACAGATGACGTGCATATGACGTCCAAGAAACACGGGGGTTGCAATTTCACAGTACACAGTAATGAGTGAAGTGTGTATTTTCAAGTGTATTTTTTTCTCTTGCTCGGCATTTTAGTGTACTTTTAAGACGGAGTGTTAGTATTTGCACATTTGCATTATAAAACATGTCTACGATTTTAAGAACTTTTTGATTCCTTGTTTACCATTTCCAACGGCTGTTCTGGTTTGTAGTTCTAATTACTGCAGACATAGTTCCAATTTCTTTGTTCCCTGTCTTCTAACTCCAGCCACACAATGATCGCTCTTTGATTCTAAGTTTAAACTTTAATTGACCTAGACGACAACATTCTCTAGGAACAGCAGCTTGGAAGGTCTTTATCTACACGAGCCAAACCTATCCTTTTTAATGTCTTGTTTTAGAGAAATTTGAAAATGACCATGCTGTTTTACCTCTTTTGTAACTTTGAACTCCAAAATTCGGCTGTAGTTTGCTGCTCATGTGACAGTGGTAATCTAGCACGGCATGTCCCGCTGACCTCGGCGTTGCGGTGTCCTTCCGATCTTCAAACGTTGAGACCTACGACGTGGCGGGGTAATCACCGCTTCCGGAACTAGGCCTCTCGCTGAGCCACGTGTTCACATAGCTTTTGGATTAACCTTTCAAAATGAAATTACACCAAGAACATTGGAGTGTTTTTGTTGGCGTTACTTGTAACGGCTGCCGGTCCGATCTCTTATCATGCTTCCAAAACCGGCATTCACTGCGTATTTGCTTATGATAAATTATTCATAGCTGGGCCTTTATGTGTGTGACACAACGGATAGGATTTCAAAGTTGATTAGAGTCTTCATCAATAACTGCCATGTATTGAAAGTGGAGGGGCTAGAGCTCATCCTTGCGTCCCCCCAGTCAGCGCGGCACAAGATACATCCCCTTATCTCCGTGATAGATCGACCACCGTATCTTCTCACAACTTGCTCACTCAAATTGAAAATTGCACTAAGAGTTACTTTGCAGATCTGCATATTTGAGATAGTAAACTGCTGGTTTGCTCTGGATGCCGACTCAAGGGGTTCCCGCTCTGTCCCGGGACGCGAGAGGCCGACTTAGATTTATCACGTATGCGGAAAAGCGAATTCATGTCATACACCCTCCTATCGATCTCGTCTCCGCCTGGTTGCATGGATCGCACATCCTCATATCACCGTAATCTACTGCTGCTGTGCAGTACAAACCCCATTCGCTATCGCTCAAGCATTACGCAATACTGACCACTATCATCGGCGGAATGGATTTATTTTTATATCCCTCACTTTTGAGGGCTTGCATATATACCCTCATTTGTGAGGGCTTGCATACTTAAGGGCTCCTGAAAAGTTCGGCGCAAAAGATATTAAAATAAATCACCTTGTACAATTACATGCATAATTATTTGGTTTGGGATTTTGTAAATTCCATATGAAAAGTTAAGCCTCATGCCAGAATATTTCATCAGGTTCCTTTTTCGTTTTTGCCTAACCCTGGCATTTTCTGTATTTATGTGGAGGTTTATGTTGAGCTGTACAATGCCTCTCGTTTCCTGGTGCAACAGGGACCTATAGCCCTCTAGTGGAATGCTATTAAGCATGTCGGAATCAGACACCTTTAGTTTTACTGCTCCAAACTTAGAGTTTTTACTGGCTGATTTTGTCGGCTCAAGGTGTAAAATTGATTATTTTACAGTCGGAGACAGTAGATTTCTGTCTGCTGCATTTGCTGATATCGTTAAACGCTGATTTAAGCGTCTTCTAGGCCTTAAGTAGCCGTGTATTCCTTAAGGACGTTGTTAGTGGTTCGTGTTTCCAATAAAGTAGTTTTAAATCACAAAGACTAAGCATAAACTGTTGTATTTTTTCAAACCATGTTTGGGGTTACTGTGTTTCATCTGAGATGATGTTGATGAGACACGTAACTACATGATGAACTGAATCCTCGGCCGTATTCACACGTTGATATTTCCCCGTTACAGTTGTCACATCATCTATCACAGATGCATCGTTGTTTTCTACGTCAGATTGCGCTGTTTATTTGACATTCACCTTACCTTCGACATTCCGACATCCCCCCTCGTTATGCATGGATGTATGATTGATGAACAAGTTAGGTTCAGTGTTGACATTGATAAAAAAAAGGTCAGATTAATAAGGAGTTATCTTTAGCATCTATCAAGCGTGATTTTCTTCAAACAGGACACAAAAACTAGCTTCCTATCACTCCAACACACAGTCAGATATCAAAGGATGCAGTTCCTATGCGCGAATGATTTAGCTCACCTGATCCAAAGGAACCGTATGAACTGTATAAGTGTAATCCAGGTCACAGTTATCTTTGATACATGAGAGATCAGATTTCTTTTGTTGTATCAGACTGCGATATTTTAGTCGAAGAACCCATTGCCATTAAAAATGATGAGAAGAAAAACATCTTGTCCAGTATTTGATTAGAAATTCAATAAGGCTTGAAAAAAAATAAACATTTTGCATCAAAATGATGAATAAAAGACTCAAGTGAATAGGGTAAATTCAGAAATTCAATATTGTTGTCTGTTTACTGAACACTGTTTGATCTTTGTCCGTAGCATATTGCGACTTCGATCTGCGCTTTGCGAGTTCAACATTTTGCCTTCTCATACTTGTGGCGATCATTAGTAGACTTTGAAATAAGACCACACCCATTTATGAGATGCATGACTCAATTTCATGTCAGCGTAAACCTGATGGGACTCACCCAGCTCGGATATCTGACAGACACTTCCTATGTACATTCTCATTCAATAACACATACATAATTTATTCTCGGAGTTGAGGATCCTGGAATGAGGTCCATCCCGATCCCAATGCAATGAAATATTTACTCACATGATAAGAATATGTGAAATTTGATCGGATTGAATTGGTTCCAGCGTCTTCTATTATGAAACAATTATGTCAAGATTTTAGCAACATGTGGAATAACAGATACCATGCCTGGAATGCGATGTGTGCATCACTGTAACATTAATGGTACGTTCCCTCGGGGTATGCATGTATGCATGATATGGTACATCGCGTCACACTATGCTGTATGAAGATACACAGTCTCTATGCTCTAGGGTGTCATGGTTTTTTTGCATTTCTTAAGTTTTCGCCAACACTTGGTGTCATCACTGATACTCAGTGATCCATTCATATACTTTTTGTGACTATTTTTCCTTTTACGCCAAATGGAACCTGTTTCGACAGATACTTTCTTTTATATTTACCTTTGTGGAATCATCATTTAAAGTGTGAACCTCAGTTTGACTTATATCTGTTTCAGACACGAGCAGCTGTTCAAACGAAAGTTTCCTTTGCAAATCTGACAGCTTTGGCGACAAAAAATTCTTCCGATCCAAGGGCGCAAATATTGCTAAAGGTATGGTTATATATTTGCCAAATGTACATTTACAGTTTGTAATACTAATAAATGATGTAAGGACTGTTTACTCTGTTTCTGTAAAGGATTCTTGAATATAGGTTCGTTGACACATTGTTTTTACTACCAGGTAAATTCAAGCCGTTTGCTAAGAGGAAGGATGAAGCTATCAATATGGGGGGCGAGAGGGAATCCTCCCAGTCCACTTCAGGTCAGTCCCGCGGACTTCAGATTCCCGCAATGCCTTTTCACGTAAACTATTTTCCTCCCTGTTAATGCACATATATATTTGTCAACTCCAGCGACCATTTGTTGGCGTTTCTTGTTAGCATTTAATAATCTAAATATCACTTAACCATCGACTATAGAGCTAAATCGTTGTTGGAATAGCCACATTCATAACTACTACCTATCCCACACATCTACCAACCCCGCCCCACACCACACACACACACACACACACACTAACACACTAATACACACACACACACACACTAACACACACACACACTAACACACACACACTAACACACACAGCCTTGCCTCTGCAACAGGGACTTGTATTTGAACACTGTCCCTTCCCCGGATCAATTAACATTGATATTCCAACGTCAGTTTGAGCAAGCTCTGTTCCGATTGTGTTTCAGATGCTGGGAATCTGTTTTCAAACATTGAAAACTCTCTCGCGGAAAAAAAGCGCCCCAAGACAATGCTTAAGGGTATTGAACGCCAACACTCGTCAGAATCAGCAGAAATAGGTCAGTGTGGACACCATTGTCCTAGATGTCGAGTGTTAGTTCTTTCCATCCATTCTTGACCAGGAATATTGATAATATTATTCCAAAATCGGAACTGTGTGTTTAGTTGATTGACAACAGAAAATTACTTTAAATGATAAAACTCCTCAAAACAAACGTAATCATGATTAAACACATCATAAACGATTTTTCACATGTCATTAGGGATAAAACATTTGCGTTTAAGCTGGTATAAGTTAAACAAGACGTGTGGTAAATACCAGTGACACGTAATGTTCAGACTTAGTACAATATATCTCTGATGGTAAATGCTGTTCTTTTAGAGTCTACGAGTCCAGCCGCGGTATCTCCGTCCATGTTGGAATCAGGTCTCGGCCTCCTTGCCAAGTTCGCCACCTCCGCTCTCACTGCAGCAAATATGAAGAAGAAAAAACGGAAATTAGAGGAAGGTGTGTTTGTCGAAAAAGAAGCTGATGATGCTAGGCAGGGTCCATTAAATAAGAGAGGTACACCTTTACACGACTAATCAAAACTCTTCTGGTGGTGCATGGTTGTCACGTGGTGTGACGTAGAACGCAAACATGGCGGTTGGGCGGGGAAAAGGTCATGTTTGCCGACTACGCACCATGACGTCATTCTTGCTTTTCTGTCGTCTATATTTCGTCTTCTGTCAAATGTGGCAAGCGTTTTCACAGCTCTGAAGTATGTGAATAAGGACTGTCAGAAAGATAATTAAATAATATTAGAATTCAGTTTTGCGTATTCTGCAGTAAATCCAAACCAACAGGGTGGCGCCGTTAATCCAGGCACATCACAAATCAGGTTGGCATTTAACAAGGACGGGTTTTTTCAGACTTATGAAAATCATATTTTGGTGTTTTGACGTTCAGCAAGAGAACAATTTTTTACGTATATGAATGTAAAAAATAGTAAAATAGCTTGAACATTTTTTCAGACTTTAAGAATATCAGAAAACGTACAATTTTAGAGATAACAATTTCTGGCCTATTGCATTAGCCACGTTTCGATGTACATTCTTACACCGTTCTGAAGCTTAGAGCAATAAACCAGAAATTATCCACAAAGGTATGCGTTTTCTTACTTATGAAAATCATATTTGGGTATCACGATGCTTAACGAGAGAACGCATGTTGATTTCTTTTCTGTTCCTGTGCTTCTATTATTTACTGTTCTATGTTGTCTTCTTTATGTTTTCATACATCTACCTTTAGTATGGAATGCCTAATGTATATTAAACATCGCAACGATCTCTAAGCGGCATTCCTGCTGGTTTCAGCATCTGACACGGAAGCGGGTGACCCCCAGTGCACCAACAAGAAGCGGAAGCCAGGCCGGCCCAAGAAATGTGCACCCATTTCCTCAGGGGGAGGAACAGGTATGTGTCATGTGACTTGTGACGTCATGCATTGTTCAAATACTTTTATACATTCGTTCTCATAAATGTGTTATGACTAATAAAGAACACTTCCTCCCATCTGGGTTTATACAACATCGGTTCGCCTGTTGCAGAGACCATCGTGGCCAAGAAGTCCAAGACTTTGGGGTTGCTGCAGTTGCGAGAAGTAGGTCAGAGTAGCAAGGACAAGAAGCCGACTAGCAAACAGGAGCACCGGCAAATAAACGTGAGTTCATATCGCTCAGCAGTTAAACTAGCTCTGGACCTTGTGGCTTGTGCCCCGTGTGAAACATTGGTGTCTGGGTGCTGGTATGGTGTCCGATTAATTGATTGGGTAAGCGAATATGGTTCACACCGCTTTTTGCAATATTCCAGCAATGGAACAGCGGAGGACATCACAATTGGCTTCACACATTGTACCCATAGGCGGAATCGAACCAGGACCTTCCTAGTGACGAGGGAACACTTTAACCACGTAACTATTCATAACCGCTTCAGTGGTCTATTTGTGGAGCGTCTGCCCTGGGAGCAGAGATCGGGGGTTCGATCCCCGGCCGTGTCATACTAAAAGACGTTAAAAGATGGTACTTGTTGTTACCCTGCCTTGCGCTTAGCATTAAGGGACTAAAACAAGGACTGGTCGGCTTGGAGTCAGTATACTGTGTCTGAGTGGCGTATTCATGTTAAACTGCGACATGGTATCTCAGTGAGCTAGCACTATAAAATCGGCATTAGTCCGAGTTCAAGCAGCCACACACACATATGCTCCCACGTCTCTACATAAGTGCAATAGTCTGGAACGCGACGTTAAACCCAATTTCACCTCACCTCACCTCAACATTCATTACTACATCTGCAGGTTGCACAGTATCTACGTCAGTATTCATAACTATATCACTACATATATCAGATTCGGTCACCTGGGATGTAACTAACCGAATAAGACGAAATATTAGAAATCTCCGATGTAATGAACGACGTGGTCAGTTTCAAAGCGAACCTTTAATACAATCAAATGATTTCGTTATATTCAGACTCGATCATACACGCACCACCGAGCACATGACGACGGCCAGACTTGGGTATAAGTACATACGTGTATAAGCAAACCTAAAATATATTCCATGCACGTATATTTTACCAAATCATATTTTCGCAGTAATTAACATTTTGTGTTTATTTACATTTCAAGGTTTTATTTCCTTGATAGAATTAATGAAGGCGAGGGGGGAATAATAGCTAATTAAGTGTTTTGCATAATCTTTCCGTGGACCCTCGAAGGTGGGATGAGGTGAAATGGGGTCGAACCATCGACCTACAGCTGTCCTGGACCCTCGACATATCAGTACTTCGAGACAAGCGGATTACCGATATTAGATTATAGATTCGATACAGATACATCCGGTACCTCATCGTAGCGTCCTTTTAAACGGATATCGATATAATCCGCTTCGAGTAAACGAAGTTTTACTGAATAAAAGTTAATGACATATGACGAAATCTATATGTTTCATTTGTAAATGTCCATCAGAAACAAAAGACGAAATACCATCGATCCGATCCATTCCATGAACAGTGCTCGTATCATGAGTGTGTGATAATGTCAGGATTGCGTCGGGGTTTTCGACGCTTTTAGCAATATTCCAGCAATATCGGGGCGGGGTACACCAAACATGGGCTCCACACATTGTACTTGGGAATCGAACCCGGGCCTTCGGTGTGACGAGCAAACCCCCGACGCCCCGATAGTATCAGGAGGTTGAATGACAGTAACACACACAATGGTAAACGGGAATGAGATGTTTTGACTGCATCATGGTAATAACTGATGCGGTTTAAAGATAATCTTCATGCAGGAGATCTACAGTACAGCCATCATTGCTATTTCAACAGCGACTTTGTGGAACTATCTACCAGCTGAGCATTGTTCTGTCCAAGTCTCGTGTCGATTTCAATCTCGCGTGACTCTCGCGTGATCTCAACATTCCGTGCATTCCCAGTTTCATATTTCAGGTTTAAATATTAATTTTAAAATGAAACAGAACCCTTTTAATGCGCGTATAATAATTTGGGCCCATTAAGTAGAATTATGCCTGACTAGGGTCTCTCGTGAATTTTGTAACATATTAACTTTGATGTGTGTGGGAGGCCAAATATTGATGATTGATGAGAGGAGCTCTTCATTTCTATCATTATAATCATCCATGTTAGAGAGAACTTTCCCAAACAGCTGTTTTCAATCATGTCACTCTTTATGAATTTTAATTCAAGATTGATCGTTGATTTCTTTCCAAATAAAACATTTTAGATCATGGTCTCCTCATCAATAATTCGGTGCAATTCATCGATTACATTTTGTTCTGTCTCTTCGGAGTGTGTGATCAAACGTCAATGACATGTCAGAAAATGCACCAGCAACAAATACCCCGCATGTAGTTACGTGCAACAAAATGTATTTCGCCGCCTATTTAGGAACACCCTGCATGTGTCATTCGGTAAAATGGTGTGATGACGCGTGTTTGTTTTCGCCCTTTTGCTACAAATCAGCTGCATGTGAAAGAGATGCGAATTTTAATCCGTTCATGACAGTTACATAACAATTCACACCTGTATATCAACTACTTGTTTAGACGTTTAACATCACGCCATTTTTGTACATTACACAGTATAGTTGCATATTGCTGATGCGGGGAGGTGCAGAACTCACTCGCTGTCCCCTTTTGATGTTTTTTTTTTTTTTTTGGGGGGGGGGGTTTAATCCCGCACTCGGCAATTTCCCTGCTATATGGCGACGGTCTGTAAATAATCGAGTCTGGACCAGACTACCCAGTCATCCATCATGAGCATCTATCCTCGCAATTGGGATGCGATGATCTGCGTCAACCAAGTCAGTGAGCCTGACCACCTGATTCCGTTAGTCGCTTCTTACGACAAGCATAGTGGCCTTTTACGGCAAGCATGGGTTGCTGAAGACCAATTCCAACCCGGATCTTCACGGGTTGTCACTTTTGAAGAATACTATATTATATACACTTATCAGTATTGTAGGTGTTTGGTTATACAATTGTCAACATATAACGACACTATATCAAACTCATTCGGAAATATGTTTTCAACAAAATAAACATGACTACCAAAATCAAATGCTTCGCGGATTAATTACTTTGATCCAGTACAGTTTACCTATGTTAACATGTGATCACAACGGGCAACCTTTTATTCTTGTTTTGATCTTTCCTTTTCCTTCCACTATTTTTTTTAAAGAAAGAAAAACACGATTTTACAGTAGGATTGACCGTACATTGCCACGTGGTGCCACCCTCCCTGCTCATTCACTTTCTCATTCACTCACTCAGTCACTCAAGCAATCAGTCAACCACTCAACCACTCTCTCAACCAATTACACGCCAAGCCACCCTCACCGCACTGTTGCTGAACCACTCTGTTCTTTCCCCCAGCTGGATGGTAGCACAACGCTGAAGCCTCTATACCTGGACGAGGAGTGGTGCCTCAGACGGAGTGAGCGGATCTTCCTCAGTGAACCCAGCCCCCAACCCTCGCCCAACAACCAGCAGCCGGGGGCCAAGCAGGACAAGACCTTCTTCACTCCCCGGCCCAGCAAAACACAGAATGACAGGGACAGGGCCAAAGTACAGAAGGCCAAGAGCCTCCAGGAACTGTCTCAGAAGGTCAAACGAAAGTACACCAAGAACATGAACAAGAAGACCAGTTTTTCAGAAGACCGATTTAACGTGAGTTCTGAGCCACATGTCTTGACCTTTGTTTTGTTTAATGTCAGCGTACAAGAAAAGTGATTTATATAACAAGCGACATTGTTAATCCGAACGCGTAGGCGTCCGATCGAAATAAAAGCGAGAAAAATATTTCCGTAATCATAAGAAATCTATACGAAAATCAAAGTCCATTGTACGGTTTCGACTATATAATGAGCGTGTGTTTATAAATGACTATCAAATAGAAATGACACCAGGTGTTCGCGAAAAGGTTAGCGTATCCTGCCCCACCGATGGCACCTGTCACAAACGCATACAAGGGAAATTCGTTTTTGTTTTTTCTTACAATAGGTCATAACTTAAATGAACAAAAAATATTCACGTTTGTACTGCACCAATTGACCAGCTCATATTTCTATCATAGGTTTTGGTGTATGTGATTAACTTGTTAACTCTAAAAAACACCGTCCTACTATCCTGAAAACAGCGGATGATTTCCTAAATTCCAAATTTGTCTCCTTGACCTTGACCCACCTGTCTTTTCCAATTTTAACCATCATCTTTACCCCACAGCGAGGCAGCATGAAAGCGAGGCCAAAGGAGACCCGTGATTTAGTGGAATCAGCATCTGATCAAGACAGCGGAAGTGACGGAGATGACATCCCACTTAGCGCCCTCAGGCGGAGACCTGATACACCAGGTAGGGAAGACAACTCACCAGTCCTTGCATGAGAATTGGAATTATGGTAGCTTTTAAAAAGTACATGCTGAATATATTAAATTATTCAGCATTGAAAGAGGAAATGAAGCCCATTTTCTGCCCAGTTGTAAATGTTGTTGATACCTGGGTGGAAATGAGACACTGTCCGTGTGACATCCGTAATCATTAACTGTTAATTTGATATATATCATATCATGTGACCTAGTAGACACTAATATTGGTGCTTGAGATCAGATGCGCTAGGTCTGCTAATTTGCCTGAGCCAAGCTTACCTGTAGCGTAATATTTCATCTTGATCCTTCAGAGCCCAGGTCGTGCGTAATGAGACTTGATGACTTGAAGGATGGTCTTAGAGTGCTGGAGTTTCAGGATGGGCTCTTCTACGAGGGAGCTCTCAAGGCCATCAACCCTCCTGATATGTAAGTTTGTTTGTTTGTTTTTAACTCAGCAATATGACATGTTTTTTTGCCGCACTCAGCAATATTCCAGCAATATGACGGCGGTCTGTAAATAATCGAGCCTGGACCAGACAATCCAGTGACTGATATTATGAACTACGATGACATATCCATTTTGTCGCCTCTAACGACCAGCATAGGTTGATGAGGACCAATTTTATCCCGGAATTCCCACGAGATCCGGATTAGGGGGGTTTAAATACAAACCGAAAGTACACTGCCGGACAAAAGAAAGACCCCAATGTTTGATGGTGACTAGAAATCAAACAAACAAGAAATGGTTATTCGATGGTGATGTCTGATTTGATACGGGTATCATAGTTGTGTTTTGGACCTGAAGTTTGCAGTTTTTCGGCGACTGTTTTCAGCCTTGTAACGTTTTGATAACATTTGTGCATTTTTTGGTCAAATCCAATTTTCATAGGTATACTTTCTTTTGCCCGGCAGTTAAGTACTTGCAATTGCAGTCCGCGGGAGAGCCTATTTTCGCTGAAGAATTCAGTTATTTCACATTGGACATTCTGGGAAACGTTTTTTCCTTTTGAACAAATATTCAGAATATCATTTGTTTTACCAAACATTGTGATTTTATTTCTGTTTATACCTATGGCTGCTGTTCTTTGATGTCACATGTCAAGGTTTGTGACGTGTGTATACCGGCAAGTATGTAAAACGCTCCGGTGATACTTTGAAAGACTTTTGTAGCGATGTCAGTAACAACAATGTGACGTGACTTACTTCGTCTTTTGCAGCTACGGTGTCGTCGTAGACAACCAGCGGGGAAACAGGCCTCATATTTACCCACAGGAAGAAATTCTGAAAAACGTGGTACGTGAAGCCAGAGCGTATTTCCTAAATGCTAAATTCTTGCATAAATGACCATCCGTGTAAAACCGGGAGAATCTGACAGGGATATGGGTATTTCATTAGTTCACGGTGTCACAATATATTACTGGGTTGGAAAATTGGTGAACAAACACGAGAGATAGAAGGACTGTTGTTTATCCTCGCTGAAGTCATAATAATGTTTGAACATGAGGAGACATGAGTAAATAGCGCATTAAATGGGTGTCTTGTTTCAAATCACGTCTCTCGAGATTGCCCTTCGTGTCGATGTGTTCGGTCGCTGAGTTTCGACAACACTAGGCCCCTTTGCTCACTCAGTCAGAAAGAAAGAAGGATTAATTTACTTGTATTGCGTGTTTCGGCCGCTAGGAGGAGCTCAAACTAACCGTCTCTCCCTCTCTTTGGGCAAGATTGTCTGTCGTCGATCCTGAAGCTGCGACCAACACGCGAGTATCCCTCCCTTCCTCTCTCTTCCCCTTCGACCAGGAACTCTCCGGCATTAAAAATCGATATGACATAATCGAGGCGAAACGGATCAATTCGTTTTGAATGAGAATGTAAACGTTTGTGATTCAGGTTTAAATGGCTGTTGTCAGCTGCTACTACTATAGAAGTGTAAGGTACATTGGTGCACACGGCTCCAGCAAATGTCACTAATTTACACATCGTATGCAGGATTACAGATGTCCAATAATATTTCACGCTTCTGAGAAAACGAAAGTACGGCTAATTGAAAGTTGTGATAGCTCTGTCTGTCTTTGATCGTTGGTGTGGAAGACGCGTGATTGCTGATGTCTTTGAATGGCGCATTTGCTACCGAGCGTAAGATTTTGTGTGGAGGTTTTCCGACATTGTTGGCGACATACCCCTGGAAGTCGATTGTGTGGCGGTGTATGCACGCACGATAACGGCCGTCTGTATAATCCCGTCTTTCATCGCCACGACCATCAAAGTGCTGCAGTCGACATAGCCCGCCCACTGCTCACGATATACTCTCTGACACGACAGTCAAGGTCATTATATATACCAGAAAGATAAGCCCTACATACAACTAATTACAGTGGCCCAGAATGAAGCAAGAGAACCCGATACAGATTTCCATACAACTGCAGGTCATTAGCAAACAGCCCTAAAACAATACCGTCTATACATATAGAAGTCTTCTCGTCTAGACAGGGTCTTCCGTAGGTGACTGTGGTGTCCTATGCGCACATGTACAAATAGATGATTGAGTTCAAAAGAAACATTAGATTCTATCTATTGCTGTTATTCATGCATTCCACTTCAAAAGCCAGTATCATTCACCCAATCAAGATTTACCAATGACTGGTATTAATACCAATGAAAGGAAAGCTATGATTAGTGCCCTATTTGACCAACGGGATCTGCATAATTCATGAAATATAATACAAAAGGACAGTGTGGACCGTTTGAACATGTGTGATATATTTCACAATGTTTCAGGTTTTCCTTTATAAAGACTTTATAATTTGACATTACCAGTGAGGAAATTTGTCCGATGTCCTACCTCTTCCTTTACAATATAAGTTGCACGTGACATTATAAAAGTGAAAATGGAAGAGGATGGTTGAACCAACGGAACAACAGCCTACCAATGTTCCACAAAGCGATTTTAGCGCTACGACTATCGTAAGTGTATGCTAAAGTAATGGAGTTACGATCATCTTAAAGCTAAGATTGCTTTGTGGAACGGGACCCAGGTTGGAATGTTGTGAACCAGGACACAGGGGAATCCATGCAGGACCTTCTGATCCAAGTAGGACCACAGTTGTATTGATGGTGGTCTTGGAACTAGGCCAGTCTGTGTATGTTTGAAGTTCATGCTTATTTCATGGTCTACTAAGGTATATAGCCTCTCATTCATGTACATCTCTCCTCAGATCGTGGACGTGAAGCCAGGGTCCCCGCGTTTTCTTCCCGAGGGTACCCGCGTGTGCGCCTACTGGAGCCAACAGTTCAGCTGCCTCTACCCAGGAACTGTGGCCAAAAGTAAGACATCTCTCACAGCGTTGAGAATCCTCTAACGATATTTTCTCCTCGTCGTCTAATGGTTGTCATACTGCTACAAAAGCATCATCAAGTTGACAATTACGAAAACATCAAACCGGCTTTGTTTATTAATGGCCATAGCTCGAGGTGATGGTGACATTATTCTTTGAACTTTATCATTCCCGCGAGTGCGCACGCAGTGGTAATGTGGCAATATTGGGGCCAACATCCATGAACGGTTTAATGCAAGAATTAGCTCATGTTCGTACTAGCTGCACCTAATACTCGCATACAGCTTATTCATTTCACACGTCACGGCTAATTTAAATTCCTGCATTGACAATTTATGAGGCGTAATTGTAAGATTTCACTTCTTAATCTCGCTAATGCACGTCGATGATGAGTTGAAGTGAATGGCAGCATGGCTCGTGGACTCATCAAACCGTCTCTTGAAGAGCCTGCCACCGTTTGTTGTATTTGTATGTAGTATATAAACTGGCAAACAGCACGCAGCTTGCACTAAACGCGCCCCAAGTTGTTACGGCCATAAACTCCCATCACGTATTTGTTTGATCGCAACAAGATAACTTTCTGCCTGACGACTTCAGTCATAATCAAATTGAACCATTTTTACAGCTTGAGATATGAAGGAGATTAGCGTAGGCCCTCTTAGGTATTTATAGCAGTATTGGGAGTTATTAAAAATTCTCTGCGTATTTTCAGCGAGCCCCAACCCCCACGCCGACAAGTACTCTGTCAATGTGGAGTTTGACGACGGTGACTCTGGCCGGATTCCCATCGACCACATCCGGCTTTTGCCTCAAGATTTCCCTCTAGTCTGTGAGTGCTGCCACCTGATTCTCTGTTACTCACTGTTACACTCTGTTACACTTACGTAATATAAGGCTTCATACTCACAACACCTTTGTAACTGGCACTCGACACTTGACACATTAACTTATTAACCCTGTCGTCTAACTTTATCACTTCCCATGTTAACGATAGGCTGTTTCACGAGGTGTAACGAAACATTGTTGACATTATCAAAATTTGTTTACACTTTCGTAACCATAACAACATACATACCCCAGTGAGGGTCCAGGTTAGATTAGGTCCTCAGCGTTCTATTGTTTGTAAATGATGACTTGGGTCATATGGACAGATTCGATGACCTGGTTGAGGCCGTGGACGTTCTTCATAATGTAAGACACTGGTGTGTCAGACTCGTTTGGATCCGTGAAGATCCCCGTTAGAATAGGTCTTCAGCAACCCATGCTTGTCGTAAGAGGCGACTAACGGGATCGGGTGGTCAGGCTCGCTGACTTGGTTGATAAATGTCATCGTATCCCAATTGCGTAGACCGATGCTCATGATGTCAATCACTAGATTGTCTGGTCCAGACTCGATTATTTACAGACCGCCGTCATGCAGCTGGACTATTGCTGAGTGCGGCGTTAAGCAACAAACAAACAAACATAACTTACGTATAAAACGGTTATTGTTTGTGATTTCAGCATACGATCCCAACCCTTTGCTGAATCTTAGCAAGAGACGTCGCCGGACAACATCGGACGATTCCGAGTTCCGAAAGTCTAGTGAAGGTTACTTCAGCTTATCGGAGTGCAAGAAGAGGCCGTCCAAACGGGATAGCTTCTCTGGTCAGTTTGATGGGGCCTTGGAGGAAGATTCCGAGGACCCGGATGTGTTTGAATCAGACGTCAGAAAGAAATCTCAGTCACGTGACCACAGCCCTAGAAGCAACCTTCACGATGTTGGCCAGAAAGCAGCTAATATATTAAATCGTGACGGACTGGCTCCCGGGAAACCTACCTTCGGGAAAAGCTTTCAAAACAAAGACAGTCTCACCCTGGCAACCCTCAGCCCTAGACGAGAAGAACTCAAGCCGTCGTCCATATTGCGTCCCTCTGCATTTGACATGAAGAAGCTTGGTCTTCAATATGGCGGCGGTTCAGGGCAGGATGAGGAGGACAGTAGTTCGGATGAGGATGTGGATTCTTCCGATGAGGAAGAGTGCATTCTGGCATCGGGGGCCCAGGAGTCGGACTCTGATAGTCCAGATGAGGACACGAATGTGACGGGGGAAGGGTCAAAGAAAGTTGGAAAGAAAGCAGCATCAAAGAACATTGCCCAGAGGAAGAAGCGCAGTGAGAAGGCGACTTCCGTCAGCTCGCAGAGTAAAGGTGGTCTTGCAGGTGCGTTCAGGGCTTATGTCCCCGCCCGCAGCATCGCTGCGTTGTGTTCTCCGTGACATCACTCCACTGTTAGCTCTTGCCTTTAGAGTTAAAGATAGACATCATTTAATGCAATGTATTGGGAGTTTCAAACGCCCCAGAACACAAACAAATTTTACATTTCATGTAAGGGTCGCCCGACAAAAGTCCAAAGATGAGCTGTATAATTTACTCAACCAGTTTCACGAATGTGATTTTCAAGAGTATACATTATACTTTTCATAAGAGGGTTAGAGCAAAAAACTATTTTTTATATTTATTTGAACGTCAGTACGTGTATCTATCATTATCATGCCTGGATGAAGAACCTAAGATTGATTTGAATACGTATAGTCAATGGCCCATTAGTTGGGGAAATTGCGTGTCAGGTAACAGAAATATGAGGACAAGAAACTCATGTTAAGAAACGAAGGGTCATTTATTTGCCCCTTAGCGATCTAAAGCCTTGTCACTTGATACCTATCAAAACATAATTCATAATCATTCAATTTGCACAGGAGTTTTTTTAATATTCATCATGAATAAATAACATGAAAGCGTCTGACCAGCTGTAGGTAACGAATGCTAATGATGCCCCCTATCTTGTCCTCAGCGTTCCTGCCTGCCCGCCAGTTGTGGAAATGGTCGGGGAAGAGCACAAAGCGTCCGGGCCTGAAGGGAAAGGCGAAGAAGGAGTTCTATAAGGCCATACTCAGAGGCAAAGAACACATCAATGTTAGTAATGACTCAGGCCATCTTAAGATCTTTAGAAATACAATACTATATTGCTCGTTTTAACAATGATAGCCACGTGGATTAAACTACAATAGCCATATATGTGTCCCCTGCAGTGATATTGCAGGAATAGTTTGCTAACAGTGGCGTAAAACCCAACTCACTCACTATTTCTGCGTCCCTTATTTTTCTTCATTAGAATATACACACATGTATGATGAAGAAAAATAAGGAACGCAGAAATATTGCAGGAGAACTGCGTTCAATTATGAGTACTTATATCAAGACAAATTTTATAACATTCAACTATTTCATAGCTTGTTTTATTTCTGTACATGGCTTAATTCTTGGTGTTACTATAACATTGAGACCTTTCCTGTCCCCCAAATGGGGTGGGGCTGCTGAATATCAACTATATATGTGTGTGTCTCTGCTCACACTATCGACCACTAGTTTGTCGGTCCAGGCTTGAATACGTACAGTACGACGTGTAGCGTGATCTTGGATTAAACCGCGTTCGCTCACTCATTCTCACTGCACACAACAATAACCGTCATCAATGTATCCTCAGGTGGGAGATTGTGCGGTGTTCCTGTCAACTGGGCGACCTAACCTCCCCTTCATCGGCCGCATCGAAAGTATGTGGGAAGCCTGGGGAGGTCAGATGACGGTCAAGGTCAAGTGGTTCTACCACCCGGAAGAGACAAAAGGAGGAAAGAAGCTGGCAGATCCCCGGGTAAGTGTCACAGAATTCACCCGTGAACGAAAACTGAGACAATTAATGTAATATACCAGGCAGCAAAATAATTTATATGATTTTATCATATCACAGTTTCTCTTTGTGCCTGGTATATTTAAAAAACACTCTTTAAAAGTATCATTAAGTCTATACCTACTCTCATTGTGGCTGAATGGATGATACGGATCTAAAAGGGTCCGCAGAACCCCTTGGTTGACCTTAGAGATGACTAAATGGTGGTTACGGTTGGTGTGTCATCGTGCTATCGACTACTGGTTCCCCTGGCTATGGTTAGATTATTTACGGACCGTCGTTATATAGTGTATTGGTGACTGTAGCATACCAAGAATATTCATTCACTGGGCAACAATTTGTGTTCAAAGTGGAATAATGTCAATAAGGATTTCTTGTGATGAACCTGTCTGGATTTGTTATAGTGTTGGATCTTTAGTGTTTATTATATGTGTCATTCCTCTCCCCCAGGGTGCGCTGTTCGAGTCTCCCCACGAGGATGAAAATGATGTACAGACCATCTCCCATAAGTGTGACGTCCAGTCTGTCTTGGAGTTCAAGAGGCGTCGCGCCGACGCACTAAAGAAAGGCCCCTCATTGGATGATGTGACTAACTTGTACTACCTGGCGGGGTATTATGATCCAACCATAGGCCTTGTAAGATACGAAGCTGATGTATTGTGATCTCTGATTGGATAACAGAGTCCTGTATTACCTAAGGTGCTAATGTCCTTCAAATGAACATGACTGACAAATTCGCTTTCGATCTTGACAGTGACAATGATTGAAACATTGAGAGCATAATAGTATGGTTGCTGAGACATTATTGTGGAACAATATGTCATTTGTTGATTTCATACTTTTAAAGGAAATGTCATATAATGAGTGTTAAATCTCACAGTGGTTGTTACCATCAAGTGTTTCAACTTGTAATCGCCGTGTTCTCGATGGTAGCTTGTTTGTCTTACGGATAACCTTCATCTCCATTGTGACCTTGACCTATATCTTCATCACGACCTTGAAGGTCTTCACATTGGCAACATTTGATTTTTGCTTGTGGCAATCTGATTCCTCCAAATGAATATTCCATGGAGACTTAACGGTGTGCCATTTCAACCCCGGTGAACAGAAGAAATCCGAAAAGCAGAGAAAAAGTGCTGTGTCTATGATGGCAGCAGTTTCCATTGGTGCATAAATAGTCACGTGACAATGACGTAATGATTCCAAGATGTGGTATGTGTAAGTTTATGACCGTGTTGTGATCTGGAGACGGCAAAACAGCCTGTAATTGTGTAGTGCAATACATACCGCCATCACACGCCACCTAGCGGGAGGGCCGTGTTCCAACAATTGCTCACTGTTCTTATGTAATCCCTTTGTACAGACGCCTTAAGTTCATTGTACAGAGAATTACTGTACGAGTCTGCTTCTTGTTGGCTTGTAGTTATACGAGAGCTTATACATATTTTATTTAGAAGCCATTAATATAAGAACTGTTAATATTTATATGATATCATGTACTAATAGAGCAAGCATGTTTCATTAATTATAAGAGAGGTTAATCTTTAAAGTAAAATAATTATAGGAATCTTTTCTTTCGAACCTGTTTTTGTTTTAATTAGATCCTCTCTGTGTTTCCTGATAATCTTGAACAAAATGATTTATCAGTCCTGTTATTTTAGTTTATAAATAATAATTTATGTTAGTAACGATGTTTTTTCTGCTTTTGCTAGAAGTGCTACGAACATGTTTATTTAGTTTAGTTTGAATGTCTTTCAATTCTTAAGTTTATGTTTTAATATAATTCAATATTTTAATAGATTGTTATACTAAAATCATGATAGATTCAGTATAAATGAGGCAGTCTTTCACAACGTGTGGCAAGTAGGTAAGACTTACTTCCCTTTGTTGTCATGTGATCACAGCACGTGCAGAACGTGGCCTTGTGTTCGTGTGGTAGTACCGTAATGAAAGATGTAACATAGTACTTAATGGATATGTTTGTTTCCGTGTATATTTCACTGTATCATCATAGTGTAACTACACAGTGTCTTTCTAACCTTGTATTCTACTGGTTGGCTTCGAGTGGGAACTCGTGAGTCCATTGTACATAACTCTTTCTACACACCTGTGTTCAGCTGTCAAGTGCAAATATGAGGATGGCACTGAAGCGAGACGGGGGAAGGGGAGGGGGAGACAGTCCACTCTTCTGGAGAGGTACTATTTGTGAAAGTGCTACGAAGATTGGATATTTACTGTTTGTAAATTTATCCTGTTATGCAATGTCTCAATAAATCTATTTTCACTGATGATGTTTGTGTCAAATGCTTACCCTTTTCGCGAACACCTGGTGTCATCAGATCTTTAGGGATTTATTCATATACAGTAAACTACGTTTATAACGAACACGCTTATAACGAACTGACGGATATAAGGAACTTATTTTTTAGTCCCGGCCATTTGATGTATATATGCTGTATATATGCTTACAACGATCAACGGTTATTGCGAACTAAAATAAGGGGTCCCTTTGAGTTCGTTATAACCGTAGTTTACTGTAATTGTCACCGCTATTTTGTCTTTTACGGCAGTGGAATCTGGATCTGGATAATCCAGACGTTTAATATTTACAGCATTAACACTTACACCCAACTATCACCCCGCACTGTTTGTCTGTTTGTTGTTTAGCGCCGCACACGCCAGTATTCCAGCTATATTACGGCGATTTGTAAATAGTTGTGTCTGGACCAGACGATCCAGTGATGGACAGCATGTGCATCGATCTACGCAATTGGGATACGATGACATGCATCAACATATCACTCTGTAAATAACTTTAACACCAGGTCCTGCTCAAAGTTTAACGTATGGTAACTTACTGCTGACACATGAGACGTCTCGTTGGTTGCTTAAAGAGACAACAGGTGTGTGGGACTCCGGGGAACACCTCTTTGTTTACTTCAACTTGAGGACACTGTTCCTCTTTGGTAATTCAAGGCTAGAGTAGATCCTCTGAATCCATGCCTCTCGTGAGAGACGACTAAAATTAAAGGCACGTGTTCTACTGTTGTGTGGATACTCCGACGTTGACGTGTTTTATTTACAATGTGTGATTACGCCGATTGCCAATGAGGATATTTGCTTATGCTATCAACCACTAGTTTGCCTGCCCTAACTCAGTTATTAGTTCACCGTAATATAACTGAAATCTTGCTGGACGAGGCATAGCATACACGGTACAGAGGTACAAGGTACGCCTGGGTTTTCATATTGGTCACACTACAAAAGAACTGGAAACAAAATGGAGACCTGTGAAGATCCGGGGTAGAAAGGGTCTTCAGCAACCCATATCTGCCGTAAAAGGCGATGATGCTTGTCTCGCTGACTTGGTTGATGCACGTCATCGTTCTCAATTGCGTGGATCGATGAGCATGATGTCAATCTCTGGATTGTCTGGTTCAGACTCGATTATTTACAGACCGCCGTCATATAGCTGGAATATTGCTGATTGCGGCTTTAAACAACAAACAAACAAACAAAATGGAATGTTCACTCATCTGCGCACAGCACAACTGACTAGCCTTGCTCCAAGGCTGTACTGAAAGATAAGTCCATGGATGTGTAGTATTTCTATACTCCTAAAGTCAAGTCTAGATATGTGGGCAGTACTAAGGACTCCAGTCAATTATTTACCTAATCTAGAAATTATGATTATAACTAATAATTATTGCCTTAGAGACTTGTGCAAGTCTACGCAACTGACCAATATGTGCCTACACGCCTCTGGCCAGTACGTATTGCAGTGGGCAAGTCACTATTGGCTTTATGATTCGAATGTGAGACATCAAGGAAGCAAGGAAAGGCGGCGAAGTCGTCTAAGGGCTGCCGATGCAGGCGTCAAGGAGTGACACCAATTGTCTGGAATGTAGTCTGTCTCCATATTAGCCTCGACTACTCATCTGGATAGTTGTATGTGACGCATCGCTGTCAGAGTAGATAGAATCACCACCGGTAATGTTTCTAGCAGCGGGAAACATTACCAATGTATGCATAGATATTCCCCGCTGATAACATTATGTCTTTTGCTCTGCATTAAATTAGTTTTATTCTTCAGTCATTGAAACAACACAGATAACGAAGTTCATATTCACTGTCATTTTATGTCTGAAGTTATAGATAAATTATTAATTTGGAAATTATGCGGCTAACAACCATAGGTGAAAAAAACCCAACAACCAGCTGGCAAACCATAATTTGTGATCCAACACATATATGCAATAGAACGCTCGCTTTTTATATGTCAGTGACATTATTGATAGTTTGTATCGAGGAAAAGGGTTTCACTTTCTATTCAACATCACGATTGGTCAACCTGTATGACGTCATAGAGCTGAGGAAGTATTCCCCATGACTACTTCCAACATATCACATTACACGATCACTGAGGTGGAAATCTGCATCGACTCAAAGTATTCCAATAAATCATGCTGAATGTCAGACTTTTATCAAATTTGTATCAATGATTTTATTATTGCCAGCACGCAAGTCAATCATAACACACCGTGCCGCTATATATTTTTAATTAGTACATTCTTGGCGTGCATCGGCAGTAACCGCCTGTGTAGGGGGACATAAGACAGTCCCGTGCCGTGTACTAGAGGGGGGATTCCCGGCAGACATGTTCTAGTCATGAAAACATCTCATTATATGAGAGTTTATAGCATACTTAATGCGAGGCCGGCATGAGTGATAAGAAAACGTCATGATATCTGGGGAAATTAGAAGGTTTTCCTTAATGATATGATTGTATGTTGTGGACATAAGGATTGCTAAAGCCGATTTCTTTCCCACTATCTCCTTCATAATGTTTTGTACACACGTATGATAAAGACTTTTCACATGGGCGTAATGATTAGTTGAACATTGTTTACTTGAACAGAATGTGATTAACAACTTATTACATTACAAGTTATTGGAATACTTGAAGCATCAGGAATACGTCGACAGGATGAGGAAATATGATATGGATAGTTTATCAGCCTGACTTTTATTCCATAGGTTTTACAGACAGACTGATGTTTATATCCCAACGCATCACGCATCACGCACCTAGCAGTACACGCACCACGCATAAGCATCACGAATCAAGCATCACGCATCAAGCATCACGCATCACGCATCAAGCATCACGCACCACGCACCACGCACCACGCATCAAGCATCACGCACCACAAACCACCGTTATGATTATATAGACTCTAAAGACTACCTTCACTCTTCACGCAGCAAGTAGCACGCAGCACCCACAACGCTCAACCCATAATTGACCACGCACTCTGAACCACACGCACCACGCACAACGCAACAGCCTTATGCTAATATGGACACTAATGAACTAAAACAAACAAATGAACCCTTTTAATATTGAAAATACAAGTTCGTTCAACATCTAAAGCCCCCCACAATCTACCCACCCTCATCCACACTAAAGTTAAAAATTCAGCACGCGCCCAATGCACATGTTGGCATCGCACAACTGCTCCGTTGGGAATCCGTCAATATTCAATCTTGTCACTGGCACATCCCTTCCTTATAAAAGCCCATGATAATAGTTTTGAGAATCTAATTAGAAGTAAGTTGTAATGCCATTACATTTCTGAATCGGTTTAATGTTGCATGTTATTGTACATGTGTTAAATGTCATGTCAGCGATTTTTATCCAGATGTCAATGATTGTATTTAGCCAGTGCGTAGAAAAACACATTTGTTACAAGGATGCATTGTGTCAATTTGACTAACACAGTTAAGTAATATATCTATGAATAATTAACGATCAGGGGAATATTGAACAGACTTCCAGGAACCGTCTGCACTAATCATGTTTGGTTAAAGTCTCCTTTGTAGCTGGCTTTCCCTCAAGCAGTGCTTTGTGGCGACCGATGTTAGTATTATTGCTACTGCTGGGAACACCATGCCAAGGAGCCTTGAGTTGTTATGGGAAGATTTGGACAATACCATTGATGGAACCAACATCTGATTGTAGGCGAGACGGTTTGGACAATACCATGCTAAGGAACCAATATATGATTGTAGGTGAGACGGTTTGGACAATACCATTTGATGGAACCAACATCTGATTGTAGGCGAGACGGTTTGGACAATACCATGCTAAGGAACCAATATATGATTTTAGGTGATACGGTTTGGACAAAACCATTGATGGAACCAACATCTGATTGTAGGTGAGACGGTTTGGACAATACCATTGATTTAACCAACATCTGATTGTAGGTATGACGGTTCGGACAATACCATTGATGGAACCAACATCTGATTGTAGGTGAGACGGTTTGGACAATACCATTGATTTAACCAACATCTGATTGTAGGTATGACGGTTTGGACAATACCATTGATGGAACCAACATCTGATTGTAGGTGAGACGGTTTGGACAATACCATTGATTTAACCAACATCTGATTGTAGGTATGACGGTTTGGACAATACCATTGATGGAACCAACATCTGATTGTAGGTGAGACGGTTTGGACAATACCATTGATTTAACCAACATCTGATTGTAGGTATGACGGTTTGGACAATACCATTGATGGAACCAACATCTGATTGTAGGTGAGACGGTTTGGACAATACCATTGATGGAACCAACATCTGATTGTAGGTGAGACGGTTTGGACAATACCATTGATTTAACCAACATCTGATTGTAGGTATGACGGTTTGGACAATACCATTGATGGAACCAACATCTGATTGTAGGTGAGACGGTTTGGACAATACCATTGATTTAACCAACATCTGATTGTAGGTATGACGGTTTGGACAATACCATTGATGGAACCAACATCTGATTGTAGGTATGACGGTTTGGACAATACCATTGATTTAACCAACATCTGATTGTAGGTGAGACGGTTTGGACAATACCATTGATTTAACCAACATTTGATTGTAGGTGAGACGGTTTGGACAATACCATTGATGGAACCAACATCTGATTGTAGGTGTGACAGTGTGGACAATACCATTGATTGAACCAACATGTGATTGTAGGTGAGACGGTTTGGACAAATCATTGCTAAGGAACCAACATCTGATAGTAGGCGAGACGGTTTTGACAAATCCTTGCTAAGGAACTAACACCTGATTGTAGGCGAGACGGTTTGGACAATACAATTGATGGAAGCAACATCTGATTGTAGGCGAGACGGTTTGGACAATACCATGCTAAGTATAATGGAAAGTATAATGCCATGATAGTATCTGGTTGAGTGTTGTTGTGTTGGT